AATCAATTCACTTGCCGTGGAGTTGACCTATATTTTTCTTCTTTTTTAAATTCTAATAGCCCCTGTCTAACTGTACATGTCCGTTCTCTATGATTTACAGTTTCAATGTGCTATAAATGTGCTTGTTTGTTTTACGTCAGCGATTGAGAAGAATAAACGAAATGTTAACATCTCGCGACATATGTCTTCTTTCGGTCTTGATACGATGGACAAAGGGGACCCAGTGTTTCGAAGGTTAAATAATTATCACAAATCGTGTTCACATGTTGAAATAACACTACCACTAATTAAATAGTTCAAAACCTTGCCGTTACCTGGTTCCTTCCTCGTTGATGATTATGAGGTCATATGGTCTCATCCCACCAACACCAATGCCCATCATACCTATTAATTTTCCGTGGGGTACCAGTATCTTAAATATAGCTGTTTACAAAGTAAAGAGATTGAACTATTATTAACAACCACTGAACACTGTTAAAAGAGGTGCATGGGGTACCCGGTAGGATTAGCACCTCTAACTCGGAGGGCTGTCGGCCTCTTTATAGCATCCTCTATTCTTTGGTCCTCACCAGACGCCCAGCACTCAATTGTGGCTCCAAAATGCTGTCTAGATGCAACAGCGGTCACACCCCAGTAAACCGCTCGACAGGCAGACCCAACCAGGTTGAGTATAACCGGGAGCTTAACTCCAAGCGAGTCGGTGTCGAAAGTACGTATTAGGCGGACGAAGTCCCTTTCACTACTCAACGGTCAAGGTAATTACTCCGTGCTCATCAGGGATGCATGGATGCCTGTTCAGCTAGAAACTGTCAGCGATGTATGAACTCTCCCTCCCAGAGGGCTATCGGCAACCATGCGCTACCTTCCTGCTGTCTTGCAGTTAGCACTTGGATGTGCAAAGTCTAGAGATGTCACCTCGACCCAAAGTCGGGTGACGCTGGGGAAAGAAATTTCATGAATATTCATTTGATATTCATGAAACCTGCTCATCCTCTCCCAGGAGCCAGCCACCGTAAGGTAAAGCAAGTACTGCTCAAATGGTATTTTTAAAGTTTATGAACAGCACAGTGTAGCTGGTTGAGTAGGCGGGAGCCGTAAGTACGTAGGTACGTACACCGATGAACGGGAGGAAACTGTGCTACAGTGAAAATTGTTTCCATCTGACCAAAGCGAAATTACCATTCTACGCTTCCAATCACATGTGCAAAGACCAGTTAAGGAAGGAGCTGGATAACTTCTAATAAAGTGCACAGTTAGTGGGTTCGACTGTCGTCCAATCACTCTTCTGTATGTTACCGTGGGAAGAATACAGTACGTCAGAAAATTCCTCTGTTGAAATGCGAACCAATACTTTGTCACACTTGCTCGTAATTAGGCATGTAAGCAAACAAGCACAGTAGGCAAAAAGCCAAACAGGCCAGTTGAAACAAGTAGGAATAGGTATATTCCATACAAGTCATCTATCACTGACAGCTCAATACTGCTAGCATCTGATTAACTGAAATAAATCGATCTTCGAACTGACCAAGTCAGCGTGATACGCGTGTATTTGTGGTAGTAGCTCATATTGATCAGTCACTTAGTCAGTACTGCTATCTAAACGCTCTTGGGACACTTCAAGCAATATCAGGTTACCACAATAACCAACTAAGTTATTCACGTGTGAACTAGTTTTTCAATGCATCAGTGTTAGCGCTATTCCGTATGCTATTGTTCATTGCCCTGTCAGGCTATTTATATCGCAATATCACAAAAACAAAAACCTGAACTTACTAATTCCTTTGATTGCACGCACTATCGTTTCCGCATCCATGTACGGATCGAATCGCTCCGGATCGGGGACCGAATCAGAGTGATTATTTGGTTCCATATTGTGAAATAAAGTTCAACCACGTTTTTCGAAATTCTGTGAGAATTTGCATACAGATTAAAATGAATATGAAACAGACAGACAAAACCAGACAGGTTAAATTTGTTTTATTTAGCTGTAATGTGATAAGGTTCAATGGAAACAAGCATACAACCTTCCCCGGGCACCGCATCACCATCTGTATGCTTTAATAAATATTACTATTTTCTTTCTGTTTATCGATTATGCATTTTTACACTAAGCTTTACAGGGCAGCCATGTCAATATAGTTCATGAAAATATAGGCGGTGACGACGGGGTTCGAACCCGAGACCCCCATGGTGATCGAAGTGTGTTAGTGTATGGAAATTATGTTCTACTTAGGCTGTACAATAATCGAATCAATTTATCGGTACATTCTGACACCTTCATATTCGTAATGTGAAACAGAATGTGCACGTTGTAACATGTTGATATGTCGCTCTTCCGGCGATCCTACAATCCGTATTTAATTGAAAATTTCCAACTCGTAGTAACTGTCGTCACTCTTTCTTTGCTTGTAGATCACAATACTGTGTATCAACTTTATAAATCTGTACGGTTGGTAGGAATGGTGTTTTGATTGTTTTGATATAATCTCCAAAGGTTTTTCCCAATTGGCTCAGCCGAGGACTTGAAGTATACACTGACGTAGTGAAGGTTGAAACAGGAATAGTTACAGTTCAATTGGCTAAATGAACAGCATGCGGGATATCTATATATGTGCGTTCGAATTGCGCTTGACAAAGAACGTTTAAAGCGATTCCATGCAATCCGGCGCCTAATGTGTTGGTCGTAGACCACTTAGCTCTAGGGTAAACGGTTCAGCTCCAACCACGACGGTTCGCAGTTCCGATCCGACCACTACACAAAACAATACCCGTAATTAATGAGTGAGGAACCATTTTTTCGACACTTTCTGGTTACCTTGATTCACAGTTCCTGTCGTATTACGATGATTTTCAGCAGATGGATAATTAAAAATCTCCCATTTAATGAAATCGAAACTGAAATCGCATTGCGTTGTGGTGGTGAAAATAAATGGCTCAACACAACAGTTTAATTAAAATTATCCTCTTCATATTCCTGTACGGTGTGACTTAGATGTATCCAGATTCATATGCTTCACATGCCACTGAGTATAATAATTCTGTTTTGGGAAAAGCCGGCGAATAACGAATAAAACTCAGATATAGTTCCATAGGTCAAAGTGGGATTATAAGAAAAGTGCCCTTAAGGTAGTTGTGTTAGAGTGTTGCTTGAATTGATCGTTTGTTTTACTGCATCAATTGTGTTTTCGTGATTGGTACATATAAGACTTTAGTTTTGCTCGGCGAACAATCTGATAAGTGCAGGGTTATGTATAAACGCTTGTGATTCCCTTCCCAAGTGTGATTCGTGTCCAGTAAACTAGGGAAGATATAGCGAGAGCATTTCCTGAAGAACTAACTTCTGACAATAGTAAGCGAAATAATAATCTGAAATTTCTTCCAATCCAGGTAAATCTCAAAATGCTTTTGCTTATTTTGGTTTACTCAGTATAAAAGCTAACAGGAAAGGAGATGAGGTTATATCAAGACTGTCTAAAGAAAACAAATAATGTAAAAAACGGGCGACGGTGGAGGATTCGAGCCCAGGACTATAAGGTCATCTCTCGGGAGATCTTGACTATCTGTCTATCCTCATCTAATCACTACGTGTTACCACAGAAGTCGAGAGAAAAGTATTTTCGCACCAGGCTAATTATTCTCAGTTTCACCCATCTACCAGTTTTGCCTTAGCTGTAACACGAGTTTTTGTGTTCTGCTTAACATAGTCCGCATTCATCGCGGCGGATTAACGCTGTTCCGAGGACGAAGTATATCGATATCGAAAGCAGCAATCTATCAGCTGATCGCCGAGGCCGATGCATTTAATATACAGATATTCAGCTTCTTCTGTGAATATTATTTTTTTCACGGTTAAAAATATTTTGTTCGTTTAATTTGGACTAAATTTAATCGAAGATTGATAGATCTATAATTTTCAAATTTTCGTTGCAAAATGATTTCATCACCTATAGATCATTGTTGGGTTTTGCTAGAATTTCTTCTAACGGATGAGAGAAATCAGAATCAACAACTTTGCGAGATAAAAGTTCTGATATTTTAATTCCAACTGTTTGCATTTGATTAATTCAACTAGAAAATTCACAACAAAAGAAAGAACGTCTTAGGTCAAACAAATGAAGAAACAGGGAGCAAAATAATGGACTGCATCAACTTTACCTGATGCGTTAAGTTCGTAAACTTTGTTTGGTTTCTCCTCTAAGACTTTGACAGTGTCTCTTACCTGATATCTAGCCCGGAATTCTGTTCCTCTCAAACATGATAGTCACCAATCTGTATATAGCCTTCTTTTACTTCTTATAAAGTAGCTGATCATCAGCCCTACTCCTGTCATGTTGCACTTATTCCTTTCATTGTTCCCGACCCCCTCGGCTGGTGATAATTTGATTTTAATTGTCATGGAATGCAATCATGAATCAACTATCGGCTTTTCTTACTGGCTACAATCTCGAATCGAGCAACTGAACTCATGGATACAAAATCTCTCAATTCGCAGAGCTATTCTTCTAAATATATTACATGTTACCGTTAAATAGTGTTTTTCATCCTTTTGATCCCTTTTCTGGCACTGGGAGTGTATTGTTTTTGTTTGTTTGTAAGTTTTGCTCTCAACTGAAGGAGTAGGCACTCCACTGTTATGGGTTCCATGAATGCTTATGACCAAGCGAATACGTAGTAGTAGCAACCAAGATCGGGCAAATAGCATGAGCTGCAAACCAAACCCCAATGCTATGTTTTCAAATCAATTTCCAGAGGTCCGATTGGGAAAGAATCATTCTCTTGTGCGAACAGAAGAATTGGCCAGTAAACGAACCCATCGAGGTGGACAATCTCAATGCGGAATCTGAGGATACTCTTTCTTTCCATCCTGTTGATTGCTTGTCAACCATGAAGAAGTGATTCATTTTCTCAGGACTGTGAAAATGACGAGTACCCCGAGTCCAGAGAGTTTGTTCTCACATCCCTTACCGATGAATCTATACACACAGGTTCAAACCCTCATTCTTACAAACCTTCCATCGCTGTTCACAAATCCTCCTCATTAAATATTCTATTCAAATAATTTCGTTCTACCGATTCCTGCGAACTGCAACTAACAGTGTTCTCACTGTTCTCACTCGTTTGCGGTACCATACCAATCAAATTGATTTACGCTATGAGGTCTCTTCACTATTGCTCTCTTTCTCAATTCG